AAAAAAAAAAAAAAAATACACAAAGGCGGATGTAGTGTTTCACCGACGGGTTCAACTGAACCCATAACTTTTGACACGGAGTAAATAGTTTTATGTCAAAAAATTTTTAAATTGTAAAACTAGTAGATATGAACCCATAATTTTAAAAATATAATGGATTCAATGGTAAAAACCTTAAAAGTTGAACCCATAAAATATAAATTTTGGATCCGCCTCTGAAAATACGCAATACCTTTTTATAGCCTTTTTCTTAATGTATTGGTAATTGTGATATGTCTACGTAGTGTAGACTAACAATATAAGTATTTGTTTTTCCTATAGTGAGTTGTAACTTACTACAACAACAACAACAACCTATTAAAATTCCATTAATGGGTTTGGGGAGGGTAGTGTGTACGCAGATCTTACCCCTACCCAGAAGGAGTAGAGAGATTATTTCCGAACGACCCTCGGCTCAAAAAAATAAAAAGACAAAAGGACAAAAAGGAGACAATATTAGTATCACAACAATAATCATAGGAAAAATAGCAACACCATGAAATCCAGAAGAAAGATGCAAAGCAAAGGGAGATAATATTAGTATCACCACAACAATCATAAGAAAAATAAGAACACCATGAAATCTAGAAAAAAGATGCAAAGCAAAAGCGATAGCTAGTAAATAGGACCTGCACTTAAAAGTAAAATTGTAAGACACAACATTGCCACTAGCTATCTTAGACAAAAACCCTACATGGCTAGTCTCACAATGGTACGAAGTAAGGCAATACTCAATTATCTCCTAACCTACAACCCTAATACTCGACCTCCGCATCTTCCTATCAAGTGTCATGTCCTCGGAAATCTGGAGCCTCGCCATATCATGCCTGATCACCTCTCCCCAATACTTGTTAGGTCGCCTTCTACCTCTTCTCATGCCCTCCACAACCAGCTGCTCACACCTCCGTACCGGAGCATCTGTGTTATAAATTATTTGTAACTTGTGTTATAAATTATTTGTAATATATTATTGATTAATGTTTAGATGTAATTGGTTATTACCTTATAAATAACTTGACCGTGTAAATAATTTAACATATTTAAATTTATGCCTCCGTCTCACTACAATTACCTTCTACCAACGAAAATTGAAACAGTTCTCAGAAGTTTAAAAACAAAGAAACAACTGTTATCCCCAATTTGAATTAAATATGAAAGATACAAAAAGTTTCTGAAACTTCAGCTTGATGAGTGTTAGTTGTTCATTGTCTTTATCTTAAATTCGGTGAAAAATCATGAACCATTTACTATGTTTTTATCATAGCAATAAAAATAGGTCAAAAGATATAATAAATTGACATGTACTAAGTACTGAGTTTTCAATTCAGAAGAAAGTTAGGAGAACACTTTTTACTAAAATATATTTCAAAAAATATAGCAATGTCGCTCGCTCAATTAAAACTCTTTTAGTAGTACTTTTATTGATTAAAATAGAACAAAGATATATAAAAAAAAACTGACTTCTCTCGATTCATTTACCCTATTTGTGTCTTTAGGATGGACTTGAAGCAACTATCCAAGACGTATTTAAGAAAAACTCTTAAATCTCTCAAGCTTGCGTATTCTTGCTAAAATGGAAAGGAAGTGATAAAATTATGAAACTAAAATAAATTTTAAGCCGAAGGACTTCTATAGGACAACTTTTCTTTCCTTATTATGTTAGCTATATAGAATAAATATTAATCCTTTTTTGAGAACACATATATTTTATTCTATACCTCAAATACTAGCATTTATGAGATATACCTCTAATTAAAGCCACCTTAGCAGCTATACTAAATCACCTAATTAATGCAGGTTTGCATCCTCCCTAAGGCCACTACTAACAAAATTGATGCAATCTCTTTGGGGAAGTACTGAGGAAAAACGAAAATATCATCTATAGAATCGCGAAAATAAAATCTAATTATAAAAAATTAAAATATAACAACAGTACTAGCTAGTAGAAAAGCTAAGTTGTGAATGGAAGCAAAATCCATTAAATGGACGCTACAGTGCTCGAACAATTTGTTGATGAATGTGCTTTCCAGCAGCTGCCACAATCTTAAAACCGCCTTCAGGAATCATAGATAAGGGACTCCAAAGAAGTTCACGACCTTGCCAATCCGTAATAACTCCTCCAGCACCATTAATGATAGGTATAAGAGCAAGAAAGTCAAAGGGATCAAGAGCACAATCGACGACAACATCATAGAATCCAGAGGCCAATTCACCATAAGCAATACAGTTGCGATCAAAGAACTTCTTAGCCACCCTGGAGGAGATGCAATCATATACTTGCTTAGCAGCGTCATTGTAGTTTGGTCCCTTGAGATGGACACGAGCTTTTGCCATGTCATGACAATCCATTGTGGACACTTGTTCGCTATTAACAGTGGTTCTTCTCCCCCTAATGCCCATCCATCTGAGTTTCAAAATTGGATGATCAATGCAACCGATTATTGGTCTTCCATTATAGACTACAGCAACTAGTATTCCAAAAGCGGACGAGTCTTTCCCCACAAAGCTTGAAGTTCCATCAATGGGATCCAAAACCCAGATAAACTGATTAGGAATAAGAGAATTGTCGCGATTGTGCCAACCGGTCTCCTCACCATAAATGGAGTGGGAAGGGAATGCATTAGTGATTACAGTAACCATCGCTTCTTCTGCTTCTATGTCAACACATGTTACTGGACCATCGCCGTTCTTTTCCGTGAATTTAAATCTTACCCCAGTAGAATAATATTTTCGAATAATCTGTCGAGCAACATCGGCCGCTTCATTGGCTATTTGTGCAAGACGATCAAGTTCCTCGTTGTTTAACATCAACGAAGCAAAATCTTCCAAAATTGTTTTCCATCTGTATTGATTCTGGGATTAATCGTAAAAGAATTACTCACTCCTGAAAAAGAATACGGTGGTCGGGAGGAGGGGAGCGAAGACCAGAAAGTTAAAGAGGTTCTGATTTCTGCGTAGCTTGGAAGTTTTTGTGGGCTTATTTAAGAAATCAGTCCTTAAACTAGGCCTAAACCAAACAGTAATTGGATTCCCAATCCCAAATTGACCCGGATTTTAAGAGGAAGCGCTAACTGTGTCCCTCCTATTTTCTTCCTCCTTTCAAAAAAAAAAAAAAAAAAAAA